TATATATATATATATATATATATATATTGTATTATAACATCTGCAGAGATGTTTGGTGGTTTAAAGCGCGTTTAAATGAACTTTCCGCCTTTACGCGCTGAAAATGACATTTTCTCACGTTATCAGGAGGTTTCACCTACATAGTTTTAGATTGTTTGTTTATTTATGAATTTATTGGACCTTTTTCCAGAGCCTCGATCTGCTCCTGCGTGAAGGACGTGCGGTTTCTCTGCAGCTTCCTCTTGAGCTGCAGACGCATCTGTGTCTCCTCTGAGTCCTCGCCGTTGGAGCTGATGGAGTTTGTGTTTTCTCCCGCTCCGTCTTGTTGTTGGCAGCCTTCTGAAAGAGAGAAGAGAAAAAAAAAGGTGGTGGTGGGGGGGGGGGKGCTTAATGGAAATATACATTCACTTAAGCTAATTGAATAATTAATTATCGGGCCTCGTGTTTCATCAGCCTACAGCTAATTGTACAGAGCGCGGCGCTACATCATTAATTAAGCCCCCCCTCCCTCCCCATCATGGTTAATTTAATTCAAAATCGGAGGAATTATTGCAATTCTTTCCTAATGTTACCAGATTACAGACGAGTGTCTGTGTGAAAGAAGGGGGCCACGTCAGGGAGTGGGGGGGAAAAAAGAAGAAAAAAAAAAGCTTTAACAGTTTAAGTGTTTGTAAAATATTGTGGGAAAAACAGGGTTGGGGAGGGAGAGGTTCTTATCGCTGCCCAACAATAGTTTGTGTTCTCAAAAGGTTAAGAAAAATGTGTCAAGATGTGGCGAGCCTTCTTTTCAGAGCCTATGAAATGTATTAAAGCCCCCCCCCCAAACTCTGCCGCCCCCCTCTTTTTTTTAAAGACAGAGCAGTGCTTCAATGGGCTCTCCCATATGGGCGTTGGTTGAGCCATTGAGGTGACCACCAACTTTTGAATAGAAGAAGACGCTTTTCAGCATGACACAATGCCTTCAGGAGTAAGGGAAACCATTAAACTATGGACACAGCCAGGGACGGACCAGCGAGCCCTCTGTGGGTGTAATATATGGGAGGGGAGGAGGAGGAGTGGTGGGGGGGGGGGGACCTTTGGAGGAGATGACAAAAGGATCCTCTCTCTGTGGAGGCGCGCAGGCTATAGTGCTTTGGCATTGTGCGCACGAGGATCCCAGTCAACAGAGCTTTGAGTCCAGTGTGTTAACCCTTATCCACCAGCATCATTAATCACGTCCCCCGGCCAGCTACACGCCAGTCAGGATTTCTGTCTTCAATTGGAAACAAATGAGTGAGGAGAGAGCATGCAAGCCCCCTGAACAACCAAAATAAGGCCAATCTATTCACTGCTCCTGCTTGTCCGCGGTGGGCCCTAAAGGCCCCTCCGGTTACAGGGCGAGGCTTATCGACTAATGTCTGTCTTGTTGTTGGACATCATTATCACACCGAGAAGTTAATGCGAAATTAAGCAGCGGGTGCGCAGATGGAGGGACGTTTCTGCGCTGTAATAACGCGCTGGTGGCGCGTTGGCTCTTTGCGCTTCAGGCCACGTGCAGCCGCCGAAATAAACGGCATTTTTTTTTTTTTTGCGAAATAAAAGCGCAGAAAAGCAAATGTCAACAGCTGATTCACCTGAAAACATGGTTATTGTTGCTTCACGAGTTCCCCCCTGCTGCATCATGGACCAAGTATCTATAGACCCCAAAAGTTTGTATCCACGCTGTTTGTTTCTTTACTCTCGATAATCCATAAAAAAGTGTGG